TAATAGTTTATTAAAGAAAACAAAAGGCGAAGTTCACTTTCCAAAGTTTAAAAAAACACTTGGAAAATGTTCTTCCACTTAACCCAATGATGGTGTTTATATACATATGTAAATACGAGTAGGTATATGAACTAAATCTAAACATATTGAAAAATAAAAACAAAAAACTATATCTTTATATTTTTATATTTTAGAGGGGACAGGTAGAACAATTACGATTTAAGTGCATTGCTTGCTAAATAACAAGGTTTTGTATTTACATTTGAAAGTAAGAGGGGTAAGATTCTTAAATATAATAAGAACAGAATTATACAATTGAAAAATTTGATATGAAAACGAACGTTTGAATCTTAAATTTAAGTTGTGAACATCTGTCCTAAAGGATATTTTTTTGTAAAGATAAATGGGGATTTTATACAAGACAATTTTGTGGTATAGCGTAGTTGCATGATGAATTCGTCGGTTTTCCATATTCAGCCAACCGATTTCTTTGAGTTTATGTGATATCCTTTGATATTTTCTTATACCGTATAAGAGTCTTAAGCAACTGTTTTGTATTTTTTGTATTTTTTTTTTTTTGAAGGTTACTGATAAATTTGGACCATAGACAGAATCAGCAAAATTAAAATTTGATAGTACAAGTGATTCACATAGTGATATTTTAATACTTTTAGGCAACAACTTACGATTACCGTATATCAATTTTAATGAGCTATAAGCTCTCTGAATCAATTTAGTGATGTGTTTTTCAAACCTTAATTCAGAATCAATTAAAACTCCTAAGTTTTTAGCTTCATTTACTATGGTTAGTCTATCATTATTAATTTCAATACCTAATTCTTCAATAATTTTGTCACGATTACGACTTGATCCAAACAACATCACATTAGATTTTGAAGCATTAATTAGTAAACAGTGCTCAGTTGCTGATCCAACAAAAGAATTCAAATAACGATTAATTATCTCACACGCATTTTGTGATAGATCTGGAGGGAAACTGTAATAAATCTGAGTGTCATCGGCATATAGGTGAATTTTACAGTTTTCTAAAGAATTAATAAGGTTCGAAGTGTATATTGAAAAAAGCAGAGGGCCTAAAATGGAACCTTGGGGAACGCCCGAGTGAAGATTTAAAGATTCTGATTTATGTTCATCGATTTTAACACATTGTTTGCGATTTTCCAAAAAATCTTTAATAAATAATATAGCGTTGTCAGCAAAACCTATATAATGCAAGATGCTTAATAATAAATTATGATTTATCGTATCGAAAGCTCTACTAAAATCTAATAGAGTTAAGATAGTACAATGCCCTTTATCAGTTGCAGTAATGATATCATCTAATATTTCCAGAAGTGCTGTTGTACAGCCATACCCTCTGCGAAAACCTGATTGAACAGGGGGCAACAATGAGTTATTTGATAAATGTTTTGTTATTTGCTTTTCCACTGCTTTTTCTAAAATTTTGGATAGCATTGGTAAAATGCTGATCCCCCTAAGGTCTTTATACTCAGTTGGGTTTTGTTTTTTGGGTATCACTTTTACAATTGCTTTTTTCCAGATAGTAGGCACAACATTGTTTAAAAGGCAAAAATTGATAATATGCGTAATGTATGGAACAATATGCGGACAGCATAATTTAACAAACTTACTGTTCAAATGATCACAGCCTATCGCATTTGATTTCATTTTGCAAATACTGGTAAATATAAATGTTTCGTCAACTTCTCTGAATTTAAATGTACAAGGTACAACATTATTAGTATTATAAAAGTTTAATAACTTCTGGGGCGGAATAATATTTGAAATTGAGTTCACTAAAAAATTATTAATGTGGTTAGGATTTTTTAAATTTTCGGGAATATCTTGATTTTTATTTTTGACAAAATTATTAGATTTTAAAGTGTGCCATATTTCTTTATTAGTACACTTACTAAATTGATGTAAGAAGTAAGCTCTTTTTTCTCTTTTTATAGCTTGATTTGTGTAATTTTTAAGGTTTTTATAAAATTGTAAGTGACCTTCCAATTTTGTACGTTTATATTTTTTTAATGCCTTGTCCCTTTCATTCATCATTTGCCTTATAGTGAAAGTTAGCCATGGAGCTTTCTTTTTTGTAAATCTGGAGGTAACTAAGGGAGCATGTCTATCAAGTATAGAAACTAGACAATTTACAAGATATGACACCTTCTCATCGACAGTATCTTGATCAAAAATGCGAAAAAATGATGTACTTGTTAAATCATTTTGAAATTTATCTTCATCAAAATTTTTAAAAGATCTGTAGGTATACATTTTAGGTTCCTTTTGTTCTTTAACATTAATTTTACAAAAAATTAAGGAGTGATCCGAGATTGTATGATGAATGATACCCTTATCCACCAAGTTTTCCTTCCTAGCTATAGCATAGTCAAGTAAAGTCGAAGAAGATTTAGTTACTCTTGTTGGGACATCAATAACTTGCGCTAGGTCGAAAGATTCTAGAATTTCATTAAATTTGTGAAACGAAGCATTTTTATTAAAAAAATTCATATTAAGATCTCCTAAACAAACTACTTCATCAACTGTTAAAAAAATAGACGCCAAAGTATCCTCGAACTCCTCTAAAAAGTCAAATGAATTCTGTGCATGAGGCTTATAAACTACCCCTACAGCTAAATTCTTTTTATTTAGAGTTAACCTTATCCACATTTGTTCCCATAAATAGCCCTCATTTTTTATTATAAGTTCACAAACATATTTATTTTTGACATAGATACATAAACCCCTTCCTCTTGCATTTCTATCCCCACGATATAATGTATAACCCTTAACATTTAAATCATCATTACTAACATAGCTATGCAGCCATGTTTCACATATTAAAACAACCTCAAATGAATGTTCATCCAATAAATTTTTAAAATTTTGTAGCGATGGTAATAAAGACCGAGCATTTAAACAAGCTATATTAAAATAATCCATATGTTTCGACTCAAAAAAAAAATGTAAAAGTTCAACTATCCTCTCTAAAGCGATTCAGAATAATAATATAAAATCCTATTTCTAAATAATAAAATAAATACTAAGCTGAGAATATCGATTTCTGATATACAAGATAAGCAAGTCCAAAAACTAGTTAGAAATGGGAGCAACTAACTGCACAAATGTAGTTTTATTTAAACCGAACTCTTTTGTGCTAACTTAAAATCTATTATTTGAAGGAACTAAACAAATATTTGATCATTAATTTAAACAATATAAAACAATATAATTTGATAAATTTTAGAGATTAGGCAGATACAATTTAATTTTAGAATTTAATAATTAAGAGAATAACATCACTTTTTTTTTAAATTGTCAACATCCTTCAATTCACTGATTTTGATAACATCTTTGCTTCCGTAAAATTTAACGAAGATGTTTCCTTTATTTGTCCATACTAAACCATTCTCGCTAACTTTCCTTATTGCAGCTTTGAGTACCTTTAATGTTTCAATTGACAAATCTTCTCTCATCACTATATTAGTTCCTTTTAAGTGCTTCTTGTTATTAAATATTAGATTCTTTAAGTAAGCCGTACCAAATTGAACAAAAATTGGGCGAATATTATTTTTATCATTGATTTTTATGCGGTAACAACTGTCAATATTACCTACATCGAGAGTAATATTCAGTTTAGATTTAATTAATTCTAAAACAGTAACTTCACAGTTTTCATGCTCAGATTCGGGTACTCCATAAAGTAAAACATTCTTTTGTCTCCTAAATTGGTCACAAATATTATATTTATCTTCTAAAACTTTAATTTTATTAATTTGTTCATGGAGCTGAGATTTAAGACCGTTATTTTCTTGTTTTAGAAAAAATATTTCTTTGTCATATTTCTTTGAAATTATTTCAGTTATAGCATCGGCAAGTTGGAGGACAAATTCTTCAGACGTTACAAGTTTATTTATTAAATTTCTTACTTGATTTATGGCTTAACTATGACTTGTACGATAATTTGATTTAGATAAAAGTTTTTGTAAATTTTATGTACTATTTATTGACGTTTACAGATTTCCCGCATACTTTTTCAAGATATGACGTCATCGGTCAATATTTTAAATGGATCACCCTGTATTTATACATATTTTTTTTTTTTTTGAGTTCGTATGATCTGTCTGATTTTATCAATGGTACATTAAGTGGGTCCCAGACTTACGAATTTTCCATGCATTTTAGCTTTACAATATTTTAATTTTGATTTAGAGTTCCTATTGAAAATTTCAACAATATTAAGATAAATGTTTTTATAAATTCAATAAAACACCCTAACTTGTCTCTATGCTATCCGTCCCCCAATTCATTTGCGAATTATCATTTACACCGCTTCTATAACCGTTTAGAGAATTCCCAGGACATACTGGCCACCCAAGATAGCGCGTCCTTTGAGATGGTCCTTGTCCGTTGTCAACAGGTCAATCCCTAACACGCGACCCTTTTTACTATATCACGCCCCTCTCAACACCTACTTGTCATCCTCTTGTCAACGTTTATACACTTGAGAGACTTTGTTCGCCTATCTGTGTGCAGCATTTGCGGTGACTTTTGTCCTGGAGGATTGATTTCAGATTAAAAAATGGGTTTTTAGACATTACAACACGTTATACACGTGTTCGAAGGGAGTTTAGCTGACGATTTGCGTATGTTCGTTTTATTACGCTAGGTTACATTTTAAGTAGATTAGTTATGTTGTAAATAAAGAATAAAATCAGTTTTAAATCGCTAGTGGGATTTAATTATTAAAGAAAATTGTTGTCAATCAAAAGAAACATTATTTCTGGAATTTGGCAGTAGAATAATATTTAAAAAGTGGTACAAAGTTTTAGTAAAATCTTTTGGTAAACCAATTCAACGATTGTTCCCGAAAAACTTCTTTAAAGCAGGGTAAATAAAAGTATTTTTAAGGTTATGTTGTTTTATTTACCTATAATATAGTTTTACGACTCTAATTTATGTTTTTTATTTTGTTTCAGTGTCTAAGACCATTCTCAGACTACTTCAAAATGGTCATGTATTTTGTACTCAACTGTAAATACTATGAAGTAAAAGGTAAGCGAAAATTTCATTAATTTTTTGTGTTTCTCACATATGCCTCTGCTCAAAACATTGATCCCAAACAGTATAGTTTTATTACCCACAAGCTCTGCAGAAATTAAAACCACTATTAAGAATCTGAAAACAAACAAGGCTGCAGGGTCTGATAATTTAAAAGCAGAAAGTTTAATTTGCAGTTCTGACTCAATAGCTCAGCCATTTTCTTATATAATTAATAAATGAAACATTGCCTCCAGTCACACATTATTTGAATATTTAAAATGTCGACATGTCATAGGGCTCTTAGAGTCACCCTCATCATCTTTCGTGATACTGATCACCTGTATTTTTCAACCTCTATGTTAATTCGCCTGTATGATGAGCTGCAATTACCATTCTTCGAAGTGCTAATCTGGTCTTCTTATTCGCGTTGTTTGTACGAACACGTGCCGCTTAAATACACGGTTTACCATATTTAGAGTACTTATTAATTATCGTTAAAAGATTGCTTTCGGTGTTTAAACATACCTGTGGGTATGATTAACAAAACTGAAATTCTCATACAACTAATTAGAATTAAAACGATAATAGTGCTTGTTGAATAGCAAATCTAAATAAATTATTTCAAATTAACTTTATTTCTCTAGCTTTGGAAATAAGCTCAAATATTTTATTATATTGGAGAAACATTTTTTTAATATGTTAAAGTGCTGAATTAAGATTTTATTTTATTCTCATTGTTAACAAATACATGAAAAGTAAAATGATATGGTTTAACAATAATGTTTATTATTATGTTTAAAAAGGTAGTAGTTATGATTAGCCAGTTCTGGACCAAGGTCAGAGGCAATTGATGTATTTAGTAACTACAGTTCATCAAATTTCTAGAGGTGTTCGACGCCCAGACAGAGAACGCGCTACGTGTGACTAAGATAGCTATTGTACAGTCTGCTAAACAAGTTATTTTAAATAGTTTTTAATATTTTTAGGTAATTAAATTTTAAAAGTGTGGAATAGTTTAGGGATTAAATTGGTCTGATTGGACTTTCTTAGAACGTTTTTAAAAGCAGCTAAAGATAGTATGTAGAATTGAAAATAATTATTATGCCATAAAAGGTGTTTTGGAATTCCTTCAACCTTTTGAAATTGAGTCAGAAAATATAAATTTTATAGGATAGCGGAAAATACCTATAATTTTTTTGTAGGCCTTTGTAAATCGTGGAAATAGTTTATATTTTATTTCTACCTTATTAAGGAAAATGGTATCTATTATTAATAACGGTTGTTTCTGAAACATTACTAAAATTTTCGAAATTTTGTTTTTCTACAAAATAATAAACTATACTATTTAGAAAAAAATTTATTTCTCTTATAATTTTATAAAAAATAACAGGGGAATATTTACATTTCTTGATCTATTAAACAAATCGATAAATTATCTCGACGAATGACACCATGTTCTAGTACGGAAGCTAGCTTTACATTTTTGTTGGTGGTTTCATGGGTTTCATATCAATTTTTTGTAATTGTAGTTTACACGTACATATACCTCTTAACACTTGTTTGCTTTATTAAAAAAGTGTGTTGTTGTGATTTACGTCGAAATAAGTCAAAACAACTTGAAACCCCATATAAAATCAAAAAGGAGAAACGGAAAAAAATTGAGCCTGTAAATGAACACAACTCAGAAACAAAAATAGCTATCTAATAATAAAAAAATAAAATTTGATTCTTGTGCAGCTTCATCTATATCATTAACTGTTTTTGGTTTTTTAATGGTTTTTCTTGGTGATGAAAATTCCGATATCTCACGGTTATCGATTCTTTTTTTCTCTCCAGAAATGCGGACAACAGTGTTTTTAGATACTCCTGTGGCTGCAGCAACACGATCATTTACATTTTTAAATGGTATTGAAGGTGAATTAAAGTTTCCTTCTCTTCTCATAAACTCTATAACATTGGCTATTATTTCGCGAGATTGACTGTTAATCATGCGGCCTCTTAATTTGCTATTAAACTCCATACTTAGGTTCTATTAAACTGTAATGAGCAAAAAATACAAACGAAAATAAAAGAAATGTTTTAGCGAAATTTACATCTGACATTTACGTCTGAATGAAATAGTGAAATACTTGATGCGCAGAGTGTACTTTCATTGCGTAAATCCGTCGGGATGCCTGTCAGTAGTGCTTTCTCTGTCTAGCCGTCGAAAGCCTCTAGAAATTTGATGAACTGTACCCTAAGTACCCACCCCCGCTCTTCTCGCAATTAGCAAGTACCTCCCAATTACTCTGTACACCATGGAGTAAATGTTATTGCACAGTAAGTACTTTTCAATTACGCTATACACCATGTGTAATAAGTACCGTAAGTACCTCTCATTACTCCATACACATTTAAATGTAATGAGTCTAGGTACCTTGTATATATAGTAATTGCTATTCATATCATGAAGTGTAATGAGCTTAATCTAAGTACGGTTAATACTATTGTAGCGTACAGAGCGTTTTGTACCCTAAGTACATTCTAAATAATAGACATAATTGTTTTTCATAAATGGGGGATGAAGTCCACATATCCTTGACTCTCAACGGCATGAATATCGAGGCAGGAGCTTAGAAAAAAGTGGGGATTTAGTTGGAAAATACTTTCCTGTTAAGATGAATGTTGTATCATCAGCAAATAAAACTGATTTATTAGATAGCATAAAACGGCTTAGATCGTTAACATAAACAATGAATAAAAGGGGGCCCAGGACAGAACCTTGTGGAACCCCTTGCTTTACAGCCTGAAAGTCAGACCGAGCATCATTACTCATCACAGCTTGTTGTCTGTTACTGATATATGAATTTATTAGTGCAAGCGGAATTCCTCTAACTCCAGAAAAGCTTAGCTTTTCCAGAAGAATATCATGAGAGACGGAGTCGAAAGCCTTTGACAGATCGCACAACATTACTGCTGTGTGATTTCCCTGCTCAACATTCACAACATTGAGAACAGCCTGTGTAGTAGAGCGAGAGCGTCTAAAACCATATTGGGAGTTGCTGAAGAAGTTGTTTAATTCAAAATACTCACATAATTGTTTTTTAATAATTTTTTAAAACAATACTTATAGGACGATAGTTATCAATTTTCGAGACATCACCTTTTTTGAAAATTGCTAATACTTTATTTAGGTACTTCAGGAAATATACCAGTGGATAAAATTAAATTAATCAGTTCAGTAAACGGTTTTATTATAATATTACAAGTCTCTTTTAAAATTTTACTATTGAGTTCGTGAGTGTCAACACATTTAGAATTTTTTAGAGAAGTAATTGCGTCAAAAACTTCAAACTCAAGAACAGGGCGGAAGAAAAATGCATAGGAAAATGTTTAAAACTCATAAGTTCGGCATTCGAAACATTAGGAAGAGATCTTATGATATTTGCAGCAGTTTTATTAAAAAATGTATTTATTTCATTTGGTGTTAAATCAAGAGATTTCTTTTTAAATTGTTTCTTTCGAAATTGATTATTTACCAACATGCCTTAGCTTTATTGTCTGCTCGAGTAATATATTCATCATAGGCCAGTTTTTTTGTTGATTTCAATTTTTCATTGTACTCGCTTTTGAGTTTCTTGTATGGTTTTATGTCATTTGGATCTTTTGTAACGTTTGTTATTAGTTTGATGGTTGAGAGATCGTTTCTTAGAGATTTTATACTGTTGTTAAACCATATTACTGGTGAATTTCTTAAATTATTCTTACATTGTCTCAAGGGAAAATATTTCATACTTAAGTTATGGTACGTATTGATAAAAAAAGTTGACAAAAAATTACATCATTACCTTTATTACAAAAAATACTCCAATCTATACTACTTAGAGACTGTTTAAACATCTTTATTCTATTATCTGCAATAAACCTTTACACGTTTGATTTTTATTTTTTGTTAGACTATTATTGTAACTTACAGAAATGTATTGGGCACGGTGGTCTGAAAAGGAGGGTTCAAATACACCGGAAGTAAACAATTCGTTTGCCAAAATTGTAATTATGTTGTCTATACAATTTGAAGATGAAGCTGTAACTCTAGTATCATCATGTATTGTAAGAGATAAACCAAAAGACTTCAACAAACATTCAAAATTGAAAAGAATTTCAGATTGTGATTTAAAATTAATATTAAAATCGCCTAATATTATTAATTTGTTATACTTTTCTAGTAATTTGTGTAATACAAGTTCAAAATTCACAAGAAAAATATCAGCAGTTCCTTTGCCAGACCTATAGACAATTAAAATTGTAGTTTTTAAAGATGGCAGATCTACAGCAGAGAATTCTAATTAATAATAAATTTAAAATATGTAAACATATAATAATTTTGTTTCAATTATTTTGATTTTGCCTTAATATTACAAAATCCCTGTTCAAACAAACTTCATCTCTTTGATCAGAGACATGTCTAGTTAAAGTATTTATTAAACCATAAATTGTGTGAGCAAAGATTCACTTACAACTAAAAATTTACTTAAATCATTAGGATTACCATCGAATTCAGGTATACCATTAAGAAATGCACATTTAATTTTTGTAAATTATTGGTTTCTTGTGAATTATTTCTTACTTCTTGTTCTTGTAAATTATCTGAATCAAGATCAGTTGAAGGTGAATCGATTTTTAATTGCAATAAACGTTTCTCTAATTCATCAAAAGTAAAATCTGTCATAAAATGTACTTATTATAAGAGAGTAACTATCATTATTTAACAATCCCAAAAACCTCACTGGATCTGCGATGCTGTTTTTACCAGTCACAAGTCTTGAAGTCTTCTAAACCACCTTCACAGTTAATCACCTGCAGTTTGTAAAATTATACACCAACAGTTTTTTGTTTTAATTGAAAGTTCGTAATTCGGCTAATCGGTAGCACGAAAAATCGATTATCCTACTGACTGCGCCAGAAATGAAATCTCGAAACGAAAATGATTTTTTTAAAACTTTTATTTTACTTAAATACAAGAAATTTAGATG